AAGAGCGTGCGAGTACTGGGTATCTATGCGAAAAAAAAACTGGGGAACTCCTTTTGGGGATGCGAAAAACTCACAGGGGTGCGGGATACATTGTTGAAGCGGGAACTTCTGCGAGGTGACAGCAACAAGTTTTAAGCAACGATGATGTCAGAGTATCTCCCAGGTAATCTACTGCATATCTCCTGTGATTGAGAAAAATCTCTATAAGGATTTACGAGATTTCTCTGAATGCAATGGGTGGGTTGCTTTTTTAGAGTAGATTAGCAAGCCCCTTAGCTGTTAACAGCCTCAGATCATCTGCGAAACTCGAAGAGAAAAAACCTCTGAGTTGGGAAGAGTTTTCGACTTGCAGGTTGAAAATTGTCGGAGATGCACACTGCCACTTAACGCACAAGTGTTGCCGTCAACGCAGACACACTACACCAATCGCCAAAACGGCTAGACTTTGTGTATACTCAATTGGTGCTTTTGCATAGAACTGCGAAATCTGCTTTTTGGGTAAAAACACGCGCTGCCTCCGTTTCAACTTAGCATCTCGAAAGGAATTTTATGCAAAAATGGCTCAATCAAAAGGAGAAAGTTAGTATCTCGAAATAAAGTTTGATGTATAATAGAAGGAACGGAAATTAAAGGTTATCGCAAAGTGCTGTGAAACCCCAAAGTCCTGCGGAAGTCTCACACTGAAACACCAACAATGATGGCGCAGTTCAATCGGTGGAGAGTGATTGTGATGTGATAGTTAATGGACCCAAGTTCAAAGAGCTTGCCGCGCTCCTAGGCGAAAAGCGTGACCGAGTGCGAAGTGAGCCGGAGGAAATAGCTGTGCGCCTCGAATACGTCAGTATAAATCGTGCTCTCGCAACATTTCAGCTGCGCAACGCGTGGCGCGCAATATCTGAGCTGTCTTTGTGGTCAACAAATCAACAATAAGTGCAAGCCTTGGGCATTGGCTCAAACAATGAGCAAAAAGTCCACTTTTACGCGAAATTGGCGCCAAAAAGAAATGATGAGTTAGGTCGTCGGTTTGTCAGGTCTTACTCAAGATTTTGAAAAAAAATTTTCTCAAAAATCTAGCTCGGTGGTAATTGTCTTTATGCGACTACCATGCCATGATACGTTCGGTAACTCATTCAGTTCGCATTTTTTCTTTGTAGGAAGATTTCCTCTCAAAGTTACCGATCTCACGTGAAATAGAGCACGGAATGAGTAGTTATTTACAATTCATTCGCGACAGCCAGCATTGTATGGTGGGTTCCAAAGCCATCATAAGAGAGCATGAGGACAGCAAATGAATAATATTTGCCCCAATTCCAACCAGGTCAAAATTGGCATGGCGTGAGTTCTTGACGCGAGGGTATCGCGTCAGTTTAAGGCTACAGTATGTTTCGACCCGCTTTAGGCGGAAATTGGATTGGCGGGCGTCCGCCTCGCAACGGTTCGCAGCTACTGTATAACATATCGCGCTGAGAACCCATGTCTGCGTCTCTTCATTCTCCTTAGTCTTTGCTTGGCAAAATGCCAGCGCCATGCGCTCGCGAAGCTTCCAGCGATGCGCGCGCTGCTCCACGTAGAATGTTTCGCCTAGTCTGGGGTGAAATCGACTGTAACTAGTCTGCTCCCTTCTCAATCTCTTCGCTCTCTGCGATAGCGCGCGTATGCAGCGCAAATCTCTGGCGCTGCAAGCGCGCAAATTCAGCCGACGGTTCTGCCTGATCCCGATTGGGGCAGACTATAGAATTAGTGCGAGCCTTTGCGAAGCAGAGGTGACGCAATAGTAGAAGCAAAAATCGATTTGCTTAGACAATGCCTAGGAATACATAAACAATGAAAATGACGACAAAAAACTAGTTAGTTTGCTGACAGACGGAATTCGAACTGTTCTCAAAAGTGCAAAGGCGCTATACTTTATTGGAACAGTTTTGAAGATCTATAAACTACTCGAAATCGTCTATTACACCTCCTTTCCACAATGGAAACACTTCCATTCTACCGCTTCGAGCGTCGGTGAATCGATAGAGATGATAGCAGCGAACGAGGTCGGATAATTGGCGGAACTGAAACTTTTCTGGTGCAATAAATGACTTGTGGTTTTTCGAATCTTACCGACTGCATCTTGTTGTTTCCTATTTGTACATACCACCACTTTGTGCCATTTCCTTCATCGATTCTTTTTACAGGAAAATGAAAAACCTGAAAAAAAGAAAGAGGAAAATTTAAGATGAGTATTGTAGGTGTATACCTCATTTCTTGTGTTTCTGTGTACGAGGAATAATGGAATAGTCGAGCGAACGTGGCCGTCACTATCAAATTTGTAATAAAGCGCAAAATCATCTGGTTTTACAGCGGCCGCAGCCTGCAAGGAGAAGGTATGATCTTTGAAGTGTACTTATTCATAAAGCAGAAAGTTCAATACATACGAATAGCTGATAAAGGATTTCCCTAGTGCATGAAGGGGATGTGTGCCATGAGGCAAATTTTCTTTTAGCATGTTCGAAAAGAGCCGTTTTCTTCTCGAGAAACGATTCACAAATAATAGCTTGCAAGGATGGGGAAGAGAGGGGCGGTTCCCTTTGACAAGCTTTCAGAATTTTGGAATTGGTCTAATGAGTGGTAGAAGTACTGAATCGTATGATTTCGAACAATTCAAAGTATTGATTCGTATGAATTTTTCGAACAATTAATTACGTTTACAAACTTTTTAGAAATCGAAATAGCTTTTGCAAGCAAACTGGACTCTTAAAGGCAGTCCCGGCAGATTTTGCATTTCCATCTTTTTGCATGTTTTGGGCCTTTTCGTCTCGTAGATCACGAATTTGAGCTTTGAAACGGGTGAAAAGACCTTTTTCGGAGCGTTTATCCAATTTCCAAAAGACAGCTCGGACGAGAATTTCAATGGAAAGTTGGGAGTCCCTGGCATGAAGACCCGACTGCCTATAACTTTTGCTTCGGATAGCATGCACAATGCGGGAGAGCGCTCGTGAGGTCCCGCGGCGAACAGTAAACGAAGTCGGGGTGGAGGAACGAACTCCTCAATTTGGCACCGCCTCCGCGGACTACTGGTCCCAACACGATGCACAACAGTAGGACGAAAGGAGCAGCCCGCAGAAGCGGCGCCTAATTGAGGCGTTCGTACCTCTACCCACGAAGTCGTCCGAGCGCGCGCCGGTCGGGGTTGCGCGCGCCGGTTCAAGGGCTATTTTCTTGGCCCAGGGGGAACATCAACCAGCCGGACTGCGCTTAGAGGTCAGCGGGATGACCAGCAACCCCATCATAACAATATCCCTCAGGGCGCGAATCTGCCGGGACACTGCCTTCAAGCAGTTTATGAGATTGAACGTGCAAAATTATCTTCAAAATCTCCTAATTCAGTTTCTCATTCAACAGTTTCGCCGAAAGTGGGGTACCACTGGGCCGAATATACAGATAGATGCCATCTTACCTCATCTGTACTGCGAACTCCAATGAAATGTTCTTCAATTCGAGCATCTGCATTCAAATTGCACTGAAGATCAGCATTTGGATGAGTTCGTGGATGCTGGTATAGCCTTTGATTCAACTGGATTGGCGGTTGGAGGGCGAGGCTTTGTGACCTAATTATGGCCGCTCGCGCCCGACACAGTTTGCGTCTCTCTCGCGCTCGTGCTCTTCGATCATTCTCCAGCCTTAAATAGGTCACGAAGCCCCGCCTCTTAGCCGCCAATCCAGTTGAATCAAAGGTACCTCTGATTGAATTCTTGGTAATGGAACAAAATCGGATCCAATGCTTTCATCACGTATGTATACAGGATCAGAAATTTCAGAATTCTGTAATACAATGTAAACGAGAAGTTTTGTACATAGCACTGGATAACAGTAACTCTACAATGGAACATCTATGCTGCTAAACTGAGTCAAATCGATGCCTTCTCCTGCTAATAGTGATAGTGAACTTACTGGAAATGTCCATTGTGTGTCCTCACTTGTGTAATGGTGATATCCGGAGCTGTTATATTTCTAAAAATGTCTTAGTCTTCATAGCACCATATTTTGATAACGAATGGAACCTTGTGTTTGCTGCTTTCATCATCAAAGTAACGCCTACCACGTCTACCATCCCTTGATCTGACATCATTGAAAAGCATAGATTCTGTTCTTGGTCAAAGTTGCAACGCCTACCTTCTGTACGAGTCACCATCGTAGGCGTTCTCTCGAAAAGCAAAAACTTGATCACTTGCCATTGAAGACAGAACACTAGGAATGAACTATACTACCTCAATAGTCACTAGTCTCTATTATCAAGTAATAAATATTGCTCATGGCTGGTCATTTTTTCTAAAAAATTCGATGGTTCATATATAGCAAGAGCAAAGTGCGTGTCATTCCGAAATGTCTCAAACCGTGTAAAAAGGGCGTAGCCTTCAATTCAACTAAATTGGCGGCTGGAAGACGGGGCTTTGTGACCTAATCAAGGCCGGTCGCGCCCGCGACGCAGTCTGCGTCTCTCTCGCGCTCATGCTCTCTGATCATTCTCTAGCCTTAACTGAGTCGCGAAGCCCCGTCTTACAGCCGCTAATCCAGTTGAATCAAAGGGTAGCTGAGACGGGGAATGGCAGGGCCAAGTCATAAGTTACTTGATAGGGCCCACTTCTGTACTTGATTATTTGCGATTAAAACGTCATCTGCTTGGAGAGGCGTGCACTTAGGTCCATTTATCATGCGCCTTGCTTTTGTCCACATAATGAAAACATTTTGAAGCCCTTAAGAATTTCTGGTCGTCTCGAGCTAACATATCGTGCATCCGTCAGAATTGTTCCCATATGAACCATCAACGTGGCTGCCTTTTGATTGTTTCAACTTCGCGAAATTTCTGGAATTCCGCGACATTTACGGAAATTTTGCACATTCCGTGAGCGGTAATTGAGGGCCAAGTCATAAGTTACTTGATAGGGCCCACTTCTGTACTTGATTATTTGCGATTAAAACGTCATCTGCTTGGAGAGGCGTGCACTTAGGTCCATTTATCATGCGCCTTGCTTTTGTCCACATAATGAAAACATTTTGAAGCCCTTAAGAATTTCTGACCGTCTCGAGTTAACATATCGTGCATCCGTCAGAATTGTTCCCATATGAACCATCAACGTGGCTGCCTTTTGATTGTTTCAACTTCGCGAAATTTCTGGAATTCCGCGACATTTACGGAAATTTTGCACATTCCGTGAGCGGTATTGTATAGTCTCAAATCAGGTGTATCTTTTGCAAGCTTTGCCTTCGTGCACACAGCATGAATGCTATGAATGTTTGGGATTATGTGAGGAAAAACAGGCCCTTAGAGGATATTAAGGTTAGTTTTGCATCTCAACGCATGCAATTCCTGTAGAATGTTTAGAAAGGACTAATTGACAGAGACGAATTTTTTGCCCGTCTAAGGATAGAAGAAGTTGGCAAGAGGTAAGAATTAGAATCCCAACATCTGCTCTAAGTTTCTTGAATTTTTAGGTGTAAAAAATGTGAGATCATTGATTATATGCCTCTACTGCTGGATGAAAGCGGACGTTACCTAGGATACGATCCCGAAAACGGTTTTTTATATCTAGATGGACATAATCATCTCAATGATTTCGCAAAAGAACGGATTCGTCCACTGTTCTACCGCCTCGCTAAGGAGTTTGAAAAGGCCATGCCTACATAATAAATGTTACAGTGTTGATACGGCAACTTCATACAGGCGAAGGGAAAGTAGAATGTGAGAAAATAGTTGTAAATAAATAGACAGCTATTAGTCTATACCAGGTTGTAAAGAGAATTCCAAGGCACTTTTGAAATTGCTCTCGCTCGGACTTTGACACCAAGTGTTGTATAGTGTTCGGTAGAGCGAAGCGTAAATTTCCAATACCGCTTCTCATATCGATGCCAAGACGTGTTTCTGTGCAGTTCAAAGAATTTCGTCCAAATCATGAGTGATCTGATTGAGAACCTGTTGACTTCTGACCCGCAGCTGCACTCGATTTGCGTTTTGCGATTTGTGCTCAGAAATTACAAGTTGTCGAACTTGCCTCTGATTGCAACTCTTTTCGCAGCTGACGTGAACGCTTCTGCAGGGATTGCCGCGCCTAGGTATGGGTCCAAAAGATTGTGTAAGACTTTACCCCAACAATGTTCGCAGTAATCAAAGATTTGGTCAGCTCTGTGCAGAACGAGAAGACCTTAAAGTAACTTAGGCAAAAAATGGTGCATATCTGGGGGCAAAAAATGATCGATTTTTCAAACTTCCTGGAAAAATTTTTTTTGCAGGTGGCCCCTTAAAGCATGAATGGTTCTCGTAACAGCCTTACCGGAATTTTTCCATAACCACAGCATCTGGGGTCTTCAGCTGTTAGCTTGCCTGAGGTAATCCTGCACAAATAAGCCACTTTTCGCGTCGACCTCTCTTCCTTCTGCGCATGCTAGTGGACCGCTATGAGGGCTGAAAAGCCAGCACGAAAACTATATGTTGTAGACGAAATTCTCTTTGCAACGAAATTTGTAGCTCTAGGCTAGCGCTTTGTAGCAAAAGGATCAGTCTTCTCGAAGTTACAGCGATTTGAAAAAAAATTTGCAAGCGTCCGAAACTTTCTTTACAACCTAATAATCATTGGTCAATCGCTGAGCTAAAATCATATTGATCCGAGCACAATTTTGTCACAGCAAACTGCAAAGTCCAAAATTAGTTTGTAAAGTGTTTGAAAACAGAAATTGCAGTAGGTATTGGATGGCCTTTCTACAACTTGCCGCAACCTAATTAGTGCGCGCTTCTGATTAGTCAGCGCTGCGGCAGCGGTTGGGTAAGTGAGAATCTAACTTTAGGACGAAGTGTCGTAGAAGGCCTTACATCCCTACAGATTGCTAGAATACACAGGTAGTACAGACTTGTTTAGGTATGCTTTACTCACCGTTTGTAAGTATTTGATGTTGCAAAATATTGTGCACTAGCTGGCATACGTGGCTGTCGGTACACTACGATAGAAATCACCACGCTCTGTTTCAGTACAACATTTCTCTGTCCCGGTCCCACCTCTATATGCTAGTACCCTGCCTTCGCTATGTTTTTGTAGTCAGAGTTCTCACTTACCCTCTGTGACTCCGAGCCAGGGCCCGGCACAGAGGGTTCGGAGTCAAACTGAACTTCGTTTTTGAAGTTAGAAGCAACGGGGATATCGTTTTTATAAGGTCTTGGGCGAAGCATCGAAAAAAGAAACGACAAACATGCCAGGTTTAACGAGTTGAACGTGTTTTTTGGCAAACGCGCGAATTTCAAACGCAAGACCCAAACAAACAGATGGCTTGTTTAGGGCGCACAAACAATCACTTGATGCCGAATTTGGGCTATGTATTAGGTTGTCCGGAAATTAATGCCCGTTTTGAATTTCAACCGCAACAAGTCACATACTTCTCGCTTATAAACAGGTTACAAAGTACCATTCGATAGAGCAAAGCAAGCTCTACAAGATGGCTCTTTTGATTTTGCAACAACTCTCATCCACCTCGAGTTTCGAGCCAAGTACTAAAAAGACTCAGCAGCCCGAAAAATCGAAAAAATCGTAACTCAGTTCATAAAAATCCTACAAGAATTTGAACTTGCTCACGTAAACACTATCCACATAAGACAACTATGTACGCCTTTGCCGTATTTTTCCCTCTGTTAGAAACCAAGAAAACGGAAATTTTCGTGCATTTGTCAAAGTGATGCTGTGCTGTCCCCACATAGGTAGTTACATACCGCAAGCCTGTAGAAGTACAGACTCAAATTTTCAGCTTTCTACAAGCTTTAGTTCTCGAGAAATTTGAATTTTAGCTTGGACTACCTAACTAGGGAAAGCTATATTCGGTATTTCTCGAAAACTAAAGCTTGTAGAGAGCTGAAAATTTGAGTCTGTACTTCTACAGGCTTGTGGTATATAACTACCTATGTAAAAAGGTTGCCACAACTTTGCCAATTGAACCACACCAACCACCACACGAACGACACACGTTTATTGTCGATTGCCTCAAACTTGGGTAACTAAACCCTCGTTCTGCTTGAAATATACACACATAAACAAGAAGCAAATCAACATGAGAAAGTGAGGATATCCTAACAAATAGTTGGAACTATATGTCAAACCAAAATGATATTTTGGATATCATGTGAATTTGGACTACTTGCAAGAAATGTACAAGAGGGGATTAGAAAACATATGACAGGAGTGTCGAATGTGCCATCCTACGTACAAGGAATGAGCGGATAGTAAGGCAACACAAGCAATGAGTGTAAGTGATGGAAAATGCATGAGTAATAATGATTAAGTATATATAGATGCTCGCTTGCTGGCTCCATCGTTCCTTCTGCAGCTGCAATCGTTTTTGTCTGTGGACCAATATCTTTTTGTCGAAGGGAATGTCGCATCTGGCATCGTGGGTTCATTCCTTGGCATTCCGCAACTAGCTTTTTTATTTAGCAAGCATTCAAAACATTGATTGATTGCAATGCGATCCTCGAAACGAACGTCTCAGCTGGTATTGAGGGGTCATCGTGTGCCACTCTCATGCACGATATTGCTCAATTGCATCGCGATTCGCGATACTCCCGGCCACGCAAGATTTGCAGCTAACTGGAACTTGTTCATGCAAAAATAATCTAGCGAGTATTTATCAAACTGTTTTCTGGTGGGGGCACGAACTGCGCTAAAACGTTTCTTGTAGGCATCTTCCTATTTTCACCACTATATGCATCGGTGGGCAACTTATCCTGGCAAATATATGGCGGTCCAAGGAACTGTTAACTAGGCTTTGAATGCTCAAATACATGATTAGCACAAGCAGAGAACTTCCTGCAAAAACGATCGTTAGTGTCTTGTACCGCAAAACTTCCAAGATGAATTTTTCCCGAGCGATCTCTCCGTAGACCATGCTGCTTCCTGAGTTCTTCGTTGTTGAAGCTTGCCGGAAGGTTCAGTGAAGAGGCAATTTGAGTTCTTTTCGATCTTCGTCATCTGTCCCTTGTGTACTGCGACCAATTTGTACCTTCTTTGACAAAGAAGGTTGTCTTTGTTGGTGTGCTTTCTCGTATACACTGTGAGACTTCGCTTATTTTCTTCTTTTTCCTTTGGTACTGCAAGTGCCAACTGGATACCTCTTCGTCTCTCTTCAATACTGCTTTTCTTCTGAGCAGGTGACACCGGGTTTGACTTTCCTTCTGATCCTGCAAAAACCTGCTTGAAATGCCTGCTTTGCTTCTTCGAATTCTTCCTCCACTTTTCTGCTTCCTTCTTCATAGTTGACTGCAAAGAGTACTGTTTTGAGCGAAAGGTCCCGTTCTGTACGTTTTTGAGCTTCTTCTGAATCTCTCGTCGGGTTGTGTCACGTCCATTTTGCTGGTTCTGTGCTATAAGGGTTCTCGCGTGGTGGCACATACTTTGCATCAAGTCTCGCATCTCCTGTTGCTGTCGTTCGAGGATTTTCTTGAATTTCAGAAAGCATTTCCACACTTTGTGTATCGTACCTTCTTCGTCATCCAAATGAATGCTTGAAGTTACAGCTGCTTTTGTTAGAAATGGTTTTTGTACCGCAGAAGTTTTCGCATTAGGATTGATATCGGTAGTATGGAGTTCGCTAGGGAAGAGATCACTGTTTAAGTGCACATTAGCAGGCTTCGAGGGTGCTTTTGCGAAAATTACTTTGACTGGTGGGTGTGTGTTCAAGTCGGCATCTGAACCTAATAGCGGCATCTCCCCTGATAATGTTGCTCTATCGATTGCGGATGTCGTTGTTTTCATGTCTTCTGGCTTCTCTCGTTGACTAGGCTGTGGTTTCGTCTGCGTCATATTATTTGGACTTTTTTCTGTGCATAGTGTTGCGTGAAGAACTGTTGCAGTTTCATTGTTTGTCTCTTGTCCTGTCAGTGGTTCTCCTGAGGGGTCTTCTGCGCTGAGAAAATGTGTCCAAGCCGTTGGTTTCGAATATGGCAGGCTATCTTGTTGAAGTGACCTTTGAAAGTTCCGAGTTGTTCCAAATGCTTGAGTTTGCGGTTTTTGTGGTCGCCCTTCATTTTTATTCCTTCTTGGACACAAAGAGTGATGATGTTTTTGACCCACGCATGCTCTGCATCCTGGGCTCCTACAATCTTTCACAAAATGCCCTTGACTTGCGCAGTTCAAACATCTGTTAGACTCTTGGAAGAATTTGCGCCTTTGTGCAATAGAGTTGAGCTTGTCACATGCCGCCATCCTGTGAGTTGTATCATTACAGAACAAACATGATGCTGAGATGTCCATCTCTCCATGAGATATTGTTCTTGTCCTCCTTGCGTAAGTGTTCACTGCGTTTGCCGTGTATATCATCATCTCACTGATTCGCTCTTCTGTTGATATGCAGTCGTCCAACGCCGTGATGATATCTTTCATGTGCCAGTTTTCCTCCTGCATCTCTGGAGTGATGTACTGCCGTAGAATCTTGCGCTGAATCGAAGCATTGAATTTTGATAGCAGCTTCTGTGCGGCAAAGGATCCGTCAAGATAGACTTTGTGAGCTTCCAGCTGCGAAATCAGTGGAATGATTGTTTCTAACAAACGTCGTTGTGCTGTCGTACTAGTATTAGCTGCGTGAGTTTCTTCCAGACGTTGTTGGAGCTTCGCAACAAGACGAGATTTATCTCCATATTTTCGGCGTAACATC